TGTCATCTAACCACGTCCAAGATAATAGGTAAACACTGGAAAGCTGCACTGTGCCCAGTATTCCATGCACCTCCTTCTATCGACTATCGCAATCCCCGGTACACTTTCCAGGTGCGCAACAAGACTAATTCCTAGTGTAAACAAAAGCAATCTTCTATGTACGAGGTCCCGAAGCGCTTGAACCCCCTAAAATGAGATACTTTGAAACGCTATTTCCCTCATATTGGAACCGTTTATGTTCGATTATATTTATTACAAATATTGGTAATTCATTTATTATATTTTATTGGTAATATACATCTTTCACAAACACATTTTCGACTTTCATTCAAGAAACATGAATGATGACAAATGAAATTTGAACATTAAAACGAATCGATAATATTACTTTTATCTTTTTTAACATGTTCATTCGTAGCATGTGATTGTTATTTATTTTCCATAGTTAACGCAACCTGTCATCATCATAGAAAATAATTGTTGGCGCGGTTTGCTTACGTCACAAAGTACGTATATTTTGTGAAACACTCACTTGAAAGGGCTCTCTGCTTACCTGACATACTAGTAGGCAAACATATGGAATTTTCATATATTTATACACGTACTTAAGGTATTTAGTCACATAGTCACCTAGTCATTGACAAGATAGCAGAATCTTGATCTTTGAATTAACGCTGAATATTCAGTTCAGAATATCATATCAAATAGACAAAAGTTACTAGTAAACTACTAATAGGCTATTAGTTTGTCATTAAGGCGCATGGGGTGTTATGATGCTCTGAAATAGCTTTTCAATCTTCGTTGAAGGTCTATATTAACAACGTGCATCGTGGCCGTGTCAACAAAGGGACATCGCTCTCACAACTTGATTAGCCATCTACCGCTTAAACCCTAAAGTGCGTAAAGATTCCAATGTTCAAGTTAGTCAATGAATATCTTGTTCGACCGTGTAGAGTTTGAATCAATAATTAACTGCATAGATCTTAATTGATTTTTACTAATTATGTAGTTATTGTGCATTTTTAGGTGTAAAATAATTGTACCTTTTTAGGTGGAAGCAATTGCTTTTCTGATCCAATGGTTGTTTTGCCCCTGCTTCCCGCGCGATCTCAACAAAGGCAGCTCCTAAACTTTACTATTTTGACGGACGTGGAAGAGCAGCTATAATACGTATGACGCTAGCCGCCTGTGGCATCAAGGTCAGAAACAAGTGTGATGGTGAGGCGGTGCACTGGGCTCATGCCTCACTGAAATTTGGAGATCATATGGTTTGCATGTCTTTGTCGGCCATGTGCACATAACTTTCGAATAAATATCATGAAGATATTTATTCCTTTGGGGGTGTTCATCGACTGATGGTGGTGGCTCTTTGCAGTCGCCCGGCCGAGGAGACGCAATTAGCGGTGCAGAGTTGCATCCCTTTGTCATGCCAGAAACCTAGGAATGTTCTCCCCGTTTACATATTTAGGTTTGTCTGAAGTTTGTCAGCACCATATCCCTGTTCGTGGGTCAGACAAAAGTGGTAAATATCTGAGACCTGCGTCACTTCGTGTTTTCCTCCCGAAATAAAGCTCACACGCCGTGATATAACTGGAATACTGCTAATCGCGGTGCTAAACTATATTTACTCACTAACTCATCGACTGAGCATTTATTAATTTCCAAAAGCTTTTCATAGAGGTAACATAATGAATGGAATTTGAATTTGCCTACCGTTATCGCTGCAGAAGTGTTCCCTGAATAATATGTATCACAAATATTCCAACCTAATCACGACGAAAGACGCCATACATGGGCTTCACTCATTGTATCCATGTGGGGAATCGAACCCGTGGTTTCGGAGCTCAACGTTACTGTAGTCTAATAATCCAGTAATTGCCAATAACTCTAATTACTTGGACTTTATAAATCCATGTCTGTCAATCATGGAGCCCAGTCATGTCTCGTTTTACTAGATCATCGTGAATTAGGGCCCCGGCAATATCAGAGACCTGGACTGCGTTCTTCCAGTTTGGTTTGACCTTGGGTCTTTTGCATACAATGTGGCTATTTGAAGAAATACTGAATCTTTATGAATCATAATGTGCACCAAGAGTGCGTTATCCTTTATGTTATATGGCAGTGTAATATATTGTAAAACAATGATTGTAACTGTATTACATTGTTTCTGTTCAGATTCAGTAGAAGCTCATTGCAGTAGATTGGATAATGATTAGTTGTCATGAATGTAGTACTATTTAATGTAAGCAGTGGCGAGGAAGTTATTATGTTTAGATACTAGAGTTATCTGTAAACTTCCGCAATAGCATGGGTGGATGTCAAGAGTTAAGAAACATGTGGAATATTCTGTGATGTTCTGGTGACACTGTACTGGTCTGGCACTGTGTGGAAAGTGCTTGGAGCTAGTTAGGCTATATAAGTGGAGTGGGCGCGTACCAAGGTAATCGAACCTTTCATCTGACATTACATCAAGACCAACTTTCGCGTGAAGATCACTTATCACCCCAGATTCCCAGCGTAGGCCTAACTCAGAAGCGTGACCACTGTTGCGGATAGGTGAATATTATTATCACTAAACCTTTTGCCATCACCTCTGCCATCATATTTTGTATTTGATACTGCCATTGAACAGTGTATTGGACACTCTATTGCATACTGCCATTGTAATTTCTATGCAGTAATTTGTATTGATTTGTGAACCTAGTGAATTGTTCAAGACAATTGTCGATTGTAAAACCATTTGTTGGTTGGTTCCACACTCAATTCGTTTAGTTACAGATATTTGGCTTAACTAATTGTTTCAATTTCGGAATCGACACGTAACATTCATAAAACATATAAAATTCTATTGTGAGTATTGATTTCTGGTACAATAAGAAATAATGTATGAAAATGCTGTGCCCGCACTAATGTGTCGCTGGTGTGTCCCCATGGTCTGCCGAGCAGTTTCCGCAGCAGTGACAAAGCGATCTTGAAGATGTTGTCGCACAATCTGACGATCCTGATGTCGGGTGGTGACCCTTCGTCTTCCACTCCGTGGTCGCTCATCTGTAGTGTTGGTGGTCTGGTACCGTACTGTATATGGTCCTTACGTGGACTTGAAATGCATGGGCTACTTGCCGGGCGGTTTGTCCAGCTTTGCAATCGTCCAAGGGCTTGGTGTCGCTGATTTCTTGTCAATCTTGGCATGTGGTAGCATTCAATAACGAATGAATGTTATCCGATCTGGGTGGATTTTTATAGGGCAAGAAATGGGGGAACGCATGTGCATTTCAATTTGCACGGAACTCACGTGCATCGGGTTACCATGGCCGTTGCCGTGATGTGTTTGGGCGATCGGTTTTATTGTCAACTGCTTTGGTTTTTTATCATCAAATTTCAGATAAATTTTAGAAACCTTGACAAAAATTACCAAGGTATTTAAATGGCAACTTTTCATGCAATGTTACTTGGGGTGACGTTTCTTTTGCGGTTCAGTATATGTGGTATGTTTTTTTCTATAATAGCAGCACAATATTTTGTTCCTCACATTATCGAACCATATGGTAATATGAGTGCAATACTACTGTAAAAAAATGTTACAAACTGTTGAAAATGAAATATACTTATTTTGTTTGAACAAGTTATACACAGATATACATGCTTTTAAAGCTTGAATTGGAAGTCGTTTACAAGCAGCTGACCAAATTAATTTAGAAGAAAACATGATACCCAAATATTTGTCGTAAGTTACAACCTTGACCGAAACATTTCCATAAGTCCATCTTTCCTTTTTGGCAACGATACCTCTATTTCTAAAAACAATTACGCTTGTTCTATTGAAATGTACCTCCAGTCCCCATTTCAAACAAAGGGATTGTAATTCATCTGATTGTTTTTGCAAGCAACGTACTGAAAATGAGTGAGTGATGGGCTTCACACATGTACCCATGTGGGGAATCGAACCCGGGCCTTCGACATGACGAGCCAACGCTTTAACTACTTGGCTACCCCACCGCCCTGAACACATTACAATATCATTAGCAAACAATATAATCATAATATCAATACTATCTTGATGCACAAATATACCATCATTACATTGGTCATTGGTACACTGATAAAAAAAACAAGACTTAAAATAATCCCTGATTTACACATTTGGAAGTTTTAAAAAGTCAGTTTTACCCTTGTCAGTCTCTATAGAATGTTTTCACTGGTGAATACATACTTTGCAGAAAAGTGAACATTTTCCCATGACAACACTTGATAACAAGTAAAGACTATTATCTTTTGCGTATTCACTACATTGAAGGCTTATTGAAATAAACGAAAGCACAGTAAAACGGCCTTTCGATTTGTATATATATTTCGAGCACAATGACTGTAAAATGTACATGCTGTCTCAATGGTAGAATATTTGGGGCGAAAACCAGTTTGAGATTCCGATATAAAATCATCAATTTCGATCCATGTTCTCAACTTTTTGTCCTAACACAAAAGTGAAGCCCAGAGCTATATACTGTATAGCAGGCAGGTGATAGGGTAATTCATCTGCAATTTTCCGGATCGTGGTGATTAAGTGTACAATTCTTAGGTACAGACTGTATTATGTATTTGCTCCAAAGATACCGTTGATTTTTAGAAATAAAAAAAAATATCATCAATATTTTTTGATATCTTAAATACATCTTGGGGCAATTTAAAACCAAGAATAGATACGTTAACTTTGACACATTGCAAACTGATTCAAACCAAACCAAATGAAAAATGAAACGGCTTACTTTGAAGGGTTTGGGAATTTTTCAACGTTCCATTTAGAGATGTGAAATATAATTACAAAAACATGCCTGTATTATAGTTACATCTGTAGGCTGTTTTTCATAGCTATAGGTTAAGCAAACATCTATAGGCCTATTGGAAGAGATGTTATCCAAACATTCATTTGTAGGTGTGTAGCTGAGCGACTAGGCAACTTAATCCCCGCCTATTAATACCACCGGTAACATTTTCCATCGACACCGTACCGGGTCACGATAACTCGCAGTCGCCGCACCAACTGTCTCTGGCGTGGCATACAGTGCAGCGACGACCCCTGAATTCGTGCTGTTACACGTGTCATTCTAAGCAGTTTCCTCACTCGGACACGATCGTTCATTTCTGCTTTGCGGACTACAAACATGTAGCTAGTCAGTCTTTTCTGACTTCGTCCTTGACCTTATTAAATCGACTATCGCCATCCCTTGTAACTTTCCGCCCCATGTCAACAATGGCAGCTCCTAAACTTTACTATTTTGACGGACGTGGAAGAGCAGCTATAATACGTATGACGCTGGCCGCGTGTGGCATCAAGGTTAGATACAATGTGTTTGTGAGGTGAGGCCTCCATGAATGTAATAATTATGTTTTACGTGTTTTTTGTCGGCTATGTGCACATAACAGTCGAATATCATGAAGATGTTTATCCAACCTTTTGGGGTGTCGTTCGAGTGAACATTTATATGTGGAAGTCAATCTCATTAAAATCAGATCTAAGTTCTCGCTGCCACTAAACAAAGATCTGAGAACATCCCATTACAGGTCACGTCAGAACGACCTTTCGCGAACTTTGACCTACCACTGAAACGACTAACAAGAAGTCAACATCAACCAATTTGTAAAGCAGCTTTCTCGAGCTTTACAACACTCGTTTCAACCTAGCAACTTCCATTTCAGACTACGCTGACAATTTTAATATTGCAGCATTAGCATATGCGGATGATTTAGCGTTGCTAGCTGAGAATGATGCTGATCTCAGTTTACTATTAGAAGTCTAAAATTGTCCTTTTTAGAAACCCGTCTGTCATGCAGACGAAACATGTTTTTAATGTCGGAAATATGATTTTAGACATTGCTGCTAAGTATAATTATCTTGGTCTACTGTCCACTTAGGTTTTACTGCAATGGCACGTGCAGCAGCGAAGTCTGCTAATAGAGCTTTGGGCCTGTTGATATCCAAAGTTAAGACAATAGGCGGTATGCATTTCCAAACCTATTCCAAATTGTAGGATAGCATGGTGTGGTCAGTTCTTGACTACGGGGTGGCTATCTGGGGTAATTATGATGTGTCAGCAATAAATGCTGTACACCATATAGCCATTTTTATTTGGGACTCGGCAAATATGCCCCTAACGTCGTTATAAATGGGGACATGGGATGGATACCGACTGTTGTCAGACAGTGGAAAAGTGTAGCAAGACAATGGTGTCGCCTTAAGAATATGCCTAGTAGGTTAAACAAACACGTGTTTAACTGGGTGTAAAAACGGGAATGGTAAGATAAGAAAGAAGTTTAGTAACATGGATTTAGGACATCTGTTAAACGCAACAGGTTTTATAGATAAATGTTCTGTTTGTACACAGGTGGAACAATGGTGTATGAATGAATCCCCGTTGGAGTGATATGTTAAGAGGGGCGAAATGGGCTTAATTAATTGAGAATGTACCGATGTTACAAGCAAGTATATGGGACAGAGTACTATGTTTCAAATAAGATGGCCAGAAACTATAGATCGGCACTAGCCAAGTTTAGATGTGGCGTGGCTCCTATTCGAGTGGAAACCGGTCGGTACGAAGGTGTACCTGTCCATAATAGAAAAAGCTTTATCTGTTATGACAGCGAAGAAGACGAGGTCAATGTTTAGTTTCACTGCATATTATATGACGATATCAGGGCAACTCTTTTTTATGAATGTATTGCTAAATCTTACAATCTTTTAGATATACCTGATATCGACAAACTTTGTTTAACTTTCAGTGAATCCAGTGTGTGTTTTATGCTTGCCAAGGTCTGCTTTTTCATTCTTAACCGTAGAAAACATCTTTTATATGGATAACGTGGAATGGTTCTGTACATTCTATCTATGTCAAGTTGTACAAAGCTGTTTTATGTGTTTCTATTGTCTAGAAAAATATGTTGGCACAGTTCTCGGTTAAAATTTTGAAAACTGAACAAACGAACACTCCGGAATGTCTATTGTATGGTTGCGATTGTATGGCAGTGCTTCCCACGTACTGTGCAACGCCTCCTCCGTTCAAGTGTTTATCCCACGGGAGCGAGAGATAGACGATAATTTTGACGGAAAGGTCATAGGGGCCGTAACTGTCATTCGGAATACCCCGTGTTAACGTTTTCGAGGCTGCACGACAAATTCCGACTGTCACTTTTGTGATCTGGTAAGCGACGCTTTGATTGGTCGGATGAAAGGTCTACTGGCGTGACCCGTATTAGGATGTCCTCAGATCTTTGTTTAGCGATAGAACAGATCTGAATTTGATGAGTTTGATGTGGAAGTTGTCATGATTGTCAAGAAAGCTACAGAATATTTGTAATTTGAATTCTCATTTACACATGTACTCTGGGGGCACGGGTGGCCTAGTCGTCTGAGGCGCCGCGATTCGCTGTGCAGAGTGACGCCGCTTGTGCACGCCAGAAACCTATGATTGTGGGTTCGAATCCCGGTTCGCCCCGATTATGTTTCTAGGTTTGTCAGCACCATACCCGTGCTCGTGGGTTTGACGGAAGTGGTAAACGTCTGAGACCTGCATGACTTCGGGCTCCCACATTAAGCTGACACGCCGCGATATGACTGGAATACTGTTAAAAGAGACGTCAAACCCAACTCACTCACATGTACACTGTAAGCTGGTGTTCACTGTAAAATACGGATCTCAAACTTCCATGAGATCCATGATTTGATTTTCTTACAACTTTTGGGGGGACCCACTGTACATTATTTTACAGAACAACCGGCATGTCTTGTGAGTGAACGATATATTGTAATTGATAAAACCCGAGGACAAATTATGTTTACAAAATTTGGAAAAAGGGGAAACAGGTAGCAATAAACAACCAACGAGGACATGCGACACTTAATGTATTCGAGTGTCTCGGCCTAGAGTCTAGGTGTGAGTGCCTGAGTATGGTTTTACGCCGCTTGTTGGTTGCAATATGTCTGCCATATCACGGCAGGGGAAACCAGAATTGGCCTTCATACATTGTACCCGGCCATGGAGCATCGAACTCAACGCTTTTGCCAAAAGGCTACCGGACCGCCACAGATGTACATGAAATCCACAAGTTCGTAGTGTGTTCAGAAAGCACAATGCCATTCATTTGCATTAATCTGCATCATAATGTGTAAGTTTACCTTGATATCGTCAGTGTGAGCTTATCATGGGTCAAAAGTCCGTCCGTCCATGTGTCGTTAGTACTGAACAGAAACAGTCTTCACTAGTTAAGGATAATATGAATATGATGTTTCCAGAACAATATCGTCATTTCTAACTTCAGCAAAATAATTTTGAATTGTGAACATCGTATGTTTCCACACCCTTCACTCCAAATTCGTCTTCTGTGTAACAACTAGTCTTGACAAAAATCATTCTGAATGTATAATTCAATGTTCGTATATTATTCGGTCATCTCTATTGCCTCCTTTTCAAAACAGCTAGTCTAGGTTTTGTACCATATGTACCTGTAGTATTTTGTTTAGTTCACAGATGAGCTTCTGACAGAAAAAGAGCAACTTGAAAAATGGCGATCAGGTAAATAATTTGCTTCTTTCGTCTAAAAGTGAAACAGTTTGTAACCTGTATGTTTTCAGTTAATTTTGTTTTAATTCTTGTTATCGCATGCCCATGTTTCAATATGTGGCAAATCATCTTGATATTGTGCTATATATATATATACCCCACTAATGCAATGTGGACGTTAGAAAACTACAAGCAGCGATAAACTAACATTTTTTTCCTCATACTTAATCCCAAAAATGAATATATGGATAATGCCATTATGTCAGGTATTGTGATCAGAGATTTTTTCATGATCAGATGGGCTCCTACAGTTTTCACAAGTGCCAATGTTGGAGATAGATGACCTGAAGTTGGTACAGTCAGGAGCCATTGTTCGGTACCTTGCAGATAAAGAAGGGCTACTGGGGTCATCACTGGAGGAGACGGCCAGGTACGACAGCCACAGTTCCCAAACGTACATCCTTATGAATTAAATGTATATGCAGGAACGTCTGAATGGAATGGGCGTGTTTCTCAATCAGATTCTCTTTTCAGAGAGGTATTTCTGAGTCGATATGGGAAAATTAAATAGAGTGAGAGTGTGAGTGAGTGAGTGAGTGAGTGAGTGAGTGAGTTGGGTTTAACACAGCTTTGAACAGTCTACCAGTTATATCACGGTGTTTCAGCTTATTGTGTCAGGAAAGCCCGAAGTGATGGAGGTCTCACACGTTTATAATTACCACTTTGGTGATACCGACCAGCAAGGGCATGTTGCTGACAAACCTAGTTACATAATTGGAGCGTACCGAGATTCGATACACAACTCTGTTTATAAATTGCCTGTCTGTAATGTCATGTGACTGCTGTGCATCTATTTTTAACTTGACTGTCATGGAGGGGCTCGAAGTCATGTGAATGTAACAAGATGGCGCCTGATTGACTCGTCTCGCCTTGCGGGATATTATCGCGATATAATGGGCAGGATGTGGTCATTTGACTGTCCATTTGTAAACTGAAATAAATGTCCTCGAATGTAAGACTTAATTTTAGTGTATTGCGATTGTTATAAGACACGCAATGAGCTGGAAAACACTGTACGCGATTATATATCATTGTCTCATTATTTATCCCAATACTCATGACGCCTCCACAATCAATTGTCACGGCATATTGTATATTATCGGCCTAAGGTTGGATGGTTGGTTGGCTGGTTTTTTTAGTTGGTTGGTTGGTTGATTAATTGATGTCGTCTGGTTACATGTCAAATGTCTTTTCTTCAGAATCAATGTCATGTTCGAAGGCTCACGTGACTTTATGTCGTTCTTCTACAAAGCCGGATTTGTGGACATAAAGGAGGTGCTGAAGGACGCCTCGGCCAAAGGTTTGCCTCGCTATCTGCCTATATTTGACAAGGTGAGCTCACATTTTAATGTGATTGTGCTAACTAGCGAGTAGTTGAACAATGTCTAATTTGTGGTTATGTTCAAAATTACGCATGCTATTTAAAACATGGGTAAAATGTCCCCCGATCATAATGAATGACAGTCGAAAAGAATCTGATGTTTGGACCGGTACCAAGCATATCCTTGCAAGCATATCACCGCTATTGTCCTGTCACCGCTATTGTCCTGTCACCGCTATTGTCCTGTCAAGACAAACCAAGTTCGCCAGGCACTCACCCCAAAGTTTTCTGTTCGTGGTGTATCCTTCTGAACAACCCAGGGGAACAGTTTCCACAAACAATTAACAGAAAGTCAAAATATCTGGGTGTTTAAAACGTGAGACCTGCTTGAACATGTGTTAATTATTCGCTTTTCGAAACTTTGACCATGAATATCAAGAATAATTTAAAAAGCCCAGTTCCCCTCCTAATCTTTTTATTGTATTAAATTCGATCGACCGATTTGCGGCGCTGTGTATGTTATTCTTTTGACAGGCTGTAAAGGAAAACGGAAGTGGTTTCCTGGTTGGCGGACGTCTGACGCTTGCAGATATAGGTCTTTTGGAACCAATTCTTACCATACTCGACTACTACGGGGAGGAAGCTCTAAAAGATTACCCATCTCTTCAGGTGAAGCTGCATATGTGATAAGGCTGCAGACCTGGACCACCTAGCGATTTTACATTTTGATGATTTGTACTGAGCAATTTTCACTGCAGAAGTACGTTGTACGAGCGTCTGTACATGTCCATATCTTTATGCTACATTTTCGTAACCTGTTTGCGCGAAGTCCTCCTTGTCTACAGGGTATCCTCTCGCGGAAGGTTTGGATTATTCACTGTCTTGTCCGTGGAAGTCAGCGGACCCATTTTTGTAAAGTATACTTTTCTGTGCGCGTGTCATTGATTATATCAGTTCCATTGCTGTTTAGAGTATCTAAAGTACTTGCCGAATTGTTCATGCTTGAGAAGACAGAATCTGATACTTGTTCCTTTTCACTCTTCAGGAGTTTCATAAGAAGGTGACGTCTCTGCCGAACATGGCTGAGTTCTTGGCAGGACCACAGCGGAGGAAGCCCAATGATGACGTGTACGTCTCCACCGTGAAAAAGATCCTCTTTTCATAACCCGAGACCAACTCGTTACATTTTACAAGCCACATGAAGATATTGATCAAGCATATTTTAGTCACATATCCGTATCGGACTTTAATAGTAGTTTAAACAGCATCGGGACTTTTAGCTATATACACATTTTAGCTCACCTGATGAATTCAGTTGGAATTGTGCGTGGATGTATTACTATAAAGGGGCTCAAGTTTGTTCAATGCATCAACATTTCAACATGTCCACAAGGTAGCCATCTTTATATATTTAATCACTTAAAAATATCCAAAACCTCAGGGGACATTTGCCGGACACTTAGGTGAGATAGTCACCGTATGTCGTTCCAAGTTATTCAAGGCATTGCAAACAACATGCCTCGTCAGTCCTAAATGTGTTCTCAGAAACCATTGGATCTTTGAAACTGAAACTTCACATTCTTGTTCCCACTTTTGTTATCACATTTTTTTATTAAGATCAATATAACGTACTAGTATCTATTTGTGTACATCGTGGAAAGTGGTATATGTTTACTTAGTCGTGGGGCACAACAAGTATGTTTATTGTATTTACTTCTGACCATGATCCTTACCTCTATCAACATATATTTGTGACCCTGTAAACTTCTTTTCCCCTGAAATTGCTAGGCTGTAGAAACATGGGCATGTATGTTCCTCCTTATAATACTTTAGTTTGTTAAATGTTTTTGATTTTAGTTTTTTTTCACATGTTTATTTTAATGCAGCAAGTATTTAAATATCATTACTGACTGCAACTTATGTGAAGTATCCGTCTTTGTTGATATGTTAAGCTGTTGACGATATGTCCAGGTGAACTACAGTGCCGTGACACTATCTTAAATATGAACGTCTTGAAAAGCGAATAGTGGTGTTATTTGTTCCCATGAATGAACATTTTGAAGGCCCCGTCAGTTTGACAAGTTCCACTAGGTCCTCTGTGAGGGGCGATCCGTAGCCCTGAAATGTCTCGTTACAAGTCATGTCTCAATAATGTACGGTCACGAGTGACACACTCAAATGCCACAATTAACATTAGAAGCACGCACACTCCTTTGAACTGTAAGCTTGAAGTCTATTACATGTACCCCGCAAAGATAAAAACCACGTGACAATGTCAAGTTGGACAGCAGCCATTTGTTTGATCTGCCACCCAGTAGAGAATTGCTACAATCAAGTGCAGGCAACCCTTGAAACCATGTGGCTTACAGCAGATGTAACATAGAACATGTAACATTAAGGATTGTAATTTACTGGTGATTTTTCTTTGAAATGTTGAGGAGAAAGGCCAATGTGAACTTGGTCTTAGATATTTTAGACATAGCCCTAACGCTTGAGGAGACTAAACATATAGCCCAAACGCTTGGGGAGACTAAACACATAGCCCAAACGCTTCGGGAGACTAAACATATATCCCAAAGACTTAAAGAGGCTACACATAGAGCCCAAACGCTTCGGGAGACTAAACACATTTCCAAAAACGCTTCAGGAGACTAAACACATAGCCCAAAACGCTTCAGGAGACTAAACATATATCCCAAAGACTTAAAGAGGCTACACATAGAGCCCAAACGCTTCAGGAGACTAAACACATTTCCAAAAACGCTTCAGGAGACTAAACACATAGCCCAAAACGCTTCAGGAGACTACACATAGAGCCCAAACGCTTCGGGAGACTAAACATATATTCCAAACACTTAAGGAGGCTACACATAGAGCCCAAACGCTTCGGGAGACTAAACATATATTCCAAACACTTAAGGAGGCTACACATAGAGCCCAAACGCTTCACGAGACTACACATAGAGCCCAAACACTACAGGAGACTAAACACATAGCCTAAACACTTAAGGAGGCTAAACGCATAGCCCAAACGTTTCAGGAGACTAAACACAAGCCCAAACGTTTCGGGAGACTAAACATATAGCCCAAACGTTTCAGGAAGCTAAACATATAGCTCAAACCCTTCATGGGACTTACTTCTGGACAAGCGTAGCGGCGCTTATACCATCCTAAATGCCTCTGGGCCATTGATGTGTGAAATGTTGTATGGATGATCCCGTCATGGCACCACACTACAGCTGCTTACAGACGTCTTTTCCGGTGTTAGTCTTGACTGCCAGATATACTGAACCGCAAAAGAAACGTCACCATTGATAGATATATGAGAAACCTTATTTGTCCAAACACTGCAAAACTTCTTTTAGACATATTTAAAAAATGAAACTTTGCAAAACTGATCATCAAGGTTGAAACTAAAGTGTCAAATGTTCTTAAAGTGAAACACAACACTAGTCTCTGAGAAAATGGCATCACAAGTCGGTATCTCGTGTGTCCTCGATGTGCATTGATGACTACCGTGCAACGTCGATACATGAAATGGATGAGACGGTTGATGAAGGCCATAGACACTTGAGCCCACACTCTGAAGAACGCCTGACGCAGTTCAGCTGCAGTTGTCGGCCTTGGTCGGACGTCATTGAGCCGACTTTGAATCTCGTCCCACAGGTGCTTAGTGGGATTTAGATCGGGACTGAGGGCAGGCCACTGCATGGTTCTGATGCCATTCTGTTGGAGGAAGTCTCTTGTTCTCGCAGTATGGGCACAGGCGTTACCATGCTGAAACTCGTGGTTGGGGCGATGTGCCAAATGAGGTATAGCCTGTGGTCTCAAGACTTCAACAATGCACCGAGCTGCTGTGACACCTGGACCGGGAAAGGAAGACCACAGGGCCGACCCTCTGTGCATGACCAATTCCACACCACACCATGATGTTCGGAACACCCCACGACTCTCTCTCAACAACACAAGCAACTTTTCTCACAGCGTCGACACACTCTCTCTGTGTCTGCCATCTGCTGTTGAGATACAGTAACGGCTCTCGTCTCATAAGAGACTGCTGGTGACGCAAATGGTGGTGCTGTGTTGCCCACTGAAGACGCTCCCGGCGTTGACGTAGTGTCAGAATGGGTCCTCGGTGTGGCTTGTGACTGGAGGTGTCTGCTCGTCAATTGTTGACGCACTGTGTCCGCACTAATGTGTCGCTGGTGTGTCACCATGGTCTGTCGAGCAGTTTCCACAGCAGTAACAAAGCGATCACGAAGATGCTGTCGCACAATTTGTCGATCCTGACGTCCGATGGTGACCCTTGGTCTTCCACTACATGGTCGAAAGAAAAAGTTATAACCACTTTTGAATCTGAAGTAACTGAAAATAGATACAAAATGCTTAAATCATATATATAAAATAACCAAGCGTGTTTCGTCCTTAACTCAGCTGTGTGGCAGGGTGGTTGTGTCTGTAGCTTGACAATCCGAGAGTCGGGGAGTTTCTACATTCCCTTCGGTATGAATTGTATGTTCGTCCAGAATTTACAGAAAACAATATAGATATAAAGGATTCAGGAATATTGGTACTTCTTAGGTAGGTACAAAATGGACAGTGGAAGCAAAAGTAGTATCCAGATTCTGTTGTTGGAAAGTAGACAAAATCCCTTGTTTCATGCTAATCCTAATGTTCTTCCATCTATACTTGGGTATTGTAGTAATAGGTAGGTAATCTTCAAGCTTATATTAGAAGTTAAACGATCTATGCGTTTCAGTGTTGGAAAAACCAACCCCACGTTGAAACAAAAAATATATGCCCATATAAGTATATAAACAGCTGATGACCCCAATACCGTGATTTTTATGATAGTATGGTCAGCAAATAAGCATGCTATACATCTTAGAAAAAGTCTTAAGTGTATGTTTTCGAAGACCAAGGTAACGAAAAATGCAATAAAGTCACATCAAAAAAGATTGAGCAAAGCTTATACTGTTTCTGTAGTTAAATATATGACACGTGTGTGTGCATATAACACTCGCCTTTTCGCGAACACGGTGAATTATCACCATTTAATAGTGATTCAAAAATACAGTTAACTACGGTTATAACGAACTCAAAGGGACTACTAATTTTAGTTCGTTACAACCGTAATTCGTTATAAGCATATATACAGCATAACTACAGCAAATAGTCGGGACTAAAAAGTTAGTTCGTTAAAGACGGACTCTTTCAGTTGAAAGTTTTATGGGTATGACAATATTCTTGTCGCTATTAAAATATATGTAGACACTCAAATTATGACGTTTTGATTGAGCGAAGGCTGCATTTAATCCCAACAATATTGCTTTGAAGTTGCACCAGATCATTCTTAATAATTTAAGCATAATTTGTCCTTTGTATGATAATAACATTTCGTAATTGGAATAATTTGAATCACTTATATGTATCTTCTCAGTCACATTTCTCAGACTCTCTGGTCATTTATCCAAAGTACCATTAAGACAATTGCTATTGTACTACTAGCTTTCTGCTATAACATCGTCTAAGCAGCGAATCTGTGTCAATCTTGTTGGCGTTGGAGAAAGCACCTTTCGCCTGCCCTTATGGTATCTTATCGATAGCAGCATATATCATTATACAATGTGAAATTTACACGTTACAAGGCTTTTGCAACTGCACAAGTGGTCGGTCACATGAACTGAAGTTCATAACTGTATGTTCGACGCATTTTGACACGTGTTTCACGAGACTATTGAAGGAGTGACCTTTTCACTGGCGGGAAAACCTTTTGCAATCACTTTGGCTTTTTACTCTTGAAATCAGTATTTTTGTATGTCATAGTTCATGAGCCAGACCCCAAAATTTTATGTAGTGGTGCCATTTAGGGTGGCAAAATCTCACTTTGAATTTTGAAAGTCATATACTCATTGGTGAGAGAAATCCGGTACTAACAGCTTTGTTGTAGTCATCATCACATAAAGGCGACACCAAAGGTACCAAATTCCGGGTAGGGGAAGCTAAAAAGTGGATTAACTTTAAATGCAACAGTCATATAGTGAAGTGTGACCTCTCACAAGGGTGATGTTCTACACTTTGGTATGTAACACAGCATTGTGTACCAATAGTACTTTCTTTACCCAAACTGGGTTATAATTGAAGACGAGAAGTACACAAGTCTATTAAAGGTCTGAAAAAGTCGAATTTATTGTCTTTAAAACGTTATTTTACGCTAAAAACGTGCAGATATATTTGGAGTGGGACTTTTTTAAATTGGTCATTATGTTTTGATAAAGTGGCACTCCCAATGCTAATATTCATGTCCTGTATGTATTCAGGTGTTGGTTAAGCTACATTTTGATGTAACTAGGTTGCCACTAATTCACGGCGAATGCCCCAAGTACCAACATAAATCGTGGATGCTTCTGTCTACATTCCTGCATCATTTCCTTCTTGAAAATGCTTTTTATTGGAGAAACTGACACATCAGATCATGTTCACAGACTAACAGAATCTTTAGGATATGACATTGTTTATGGCATAACATGTGCCAAGGTAAAACCTCTTAAACAAATCCTGCTGCCATATGCTGTGAAATCACTTACTTGGTACATCCCTAAACCGATTTGAAAATGGCGTTTAATACTCTCAAATTGAAGAGATTGACACAACACTCTGTCTTTGTAAATTGTCACTGAGTGAAGAAAGTGTTGCCCTACCAGGAGTCATTCAAACAAATGTCCAAGTAACACTGTCGTTAAGAACATCAATCGACTCGAAGAGACCTCAAGTAGAGGAGGGACATCACATAACGTGAATGGAATCGTTGTACAACCAAAGGTGTTTCATCCACAATATTTGCCAGGAAGGAAACAAAACAGAAGCAGAAGACTATCAAGGTTGTCAAGTCGAAGGTTCCTGTCTACACTGTTGGTGTGCAAGCTGGTCCGCCACCTCATGTATACATTGAAGTAGATGACATGAAACTGAAAGAGGATGTGTACAAGAAAACCCTGCTATGGTTGACAACTCGGTTG